TATCTGATATTGACAAATTAGTTGTCTGAAACTATAATTTAGACGAGGTAAAATAAAAAACACAATTTTGAAAACTATACTGAGATTTTTATTCGATGTCAAATATTAATACATTAATGGATTGGGTACAAAAGTTTCATTGCCATATTATCTGCTTGGATTGCATCTGGTTGAGTTAGACTTCGCTTTTTGTTAATAGACTTTTTGTTTTAAAAAGCCGTCTTTGCTTCTCAATTTTTTTATTATAAGGTACCTTAGATGGCCTAGACTGACTCTGCACAAACTGTTTTTTAGTAGCAGACTCAGCCGGTGCAATAAACTCTTTGAAAGCTTCCATCTGCTCACAGGATTGTATGCTGTCAATAATATTATTCATGTGATATTTTAATTTTTCTTTTTCTGGCTCTAGGTCTTCTATTTTGATATTTTCTTTTCCATAAGTGAGTCCTGCGATAATTTTTTCTTGTTCATAATTAGATCCATTTTTGTCAATTATTAAGCTGTTACCTAAAAAAAAAACCTCCTGAATGTATATTCCTGTAACACTAAATAAAAAGCAATGTTCTTGATCTAATGTAGGTCTCATGCATCTTTGTACAGTACAGTACGTTCAGATATCAATATACTGAACGCTGCCATTCAGTATATGAATGACAATTTAAAAATTTGGAATGAGAATCAAACTTATTTTGAGAAAAAGCATTTTTACAAGCTTTTCAGTAATGTATAATGGATTAGTGATTGCTATTTAATTTTTGTCATTTAAGTTTTCCCTTTCTATCCCATGTAACTATTTTAACCATTTTCTGATATCATCCTTAGATCTCTAGATATAGCCATTATATATAAGTTTATAAATCGCCACCCCGTGTATGTAAGCTAACACCAAATAAAGCTAATAAAATAATAGACAAACTAATATATCTAATGAACCATGAAGACAACAAATAAACCAAAACCCAATATGTTTGGAGTTGAAATAACTTTTGTAATACCTTAAATTGTAAATGTAATGCTTCACAGGCTTATTCTGAAATATATACATAAAAACAATATAAGTACCTGCATAATAATGTTATACTTTATTTTGATTTAAAACAAATAGACATAATAAATAATTTACTTGATTCTAGTGGAGTATCAACATCCATGGGGTTGATCCGACAAAATCAGTTGTGATCTAAAAATGTGTCCCCCTAAGGATAAAAATTGACCTGTTTTTGGATTTTACCTGAATCAAGACGAGAACGAAGTTATCGAGGGTGGATCCTTTTCAAAAAACCACCCTGTATAAATGCGAAAGTTTGGATGTATGGATGTTTGTTGTTCAATCACGCCAGAAATTTGGCACAAAGATAGATTATAGTCTGGAATAGCATATAGGCTACTTTTTATCCCGGAAAAATATGTTTCCCGTGTCTAGCCAGACATGATTTTTTTGCATAGTGGTAGGTAGTAAAACATGAAAATTTGAAATACAGCTACTGGACATAAACAAATAATAACCTGTTTCCGAGTTTTTGGATTTTCAGATTTTAAGGGGTGGGAAACGGGGGTTGAAAGTTTGTATGGAAGTATCGATTTTTTGAAGGTAGGAACTTGAAAATTGGAATTATAGCTACTCGTCACAAATAAAAAAAGGCATAATTCGGGGTTTTGGATTTTCATATTTTAAGGGTTTAAAGAAAGGGAAAGGAAAGAACGGGGAGAAAGGGGCGAAAGAAGAGAAAGGAGACTAAGGGGGAAATAGGTAGGAACTTAAAAATTGGAATTGTAGTAAATAATGACATATTTCAAGGTTATGGATTTTTTATTTTAAGGAGGGGGGAAGTAGGTACCGTAAAACAAGACAATAAATAAATAAAAATGAATATAAATAAATAAAAATGAATACAAATACACAAAAATGAATAAAATGAATAAAAATGAATAAAAATTAATAAAAATGAATAAAAATTAATAAAAATGAATAAAAATGAATAAAAATGAATAAAAATGAATAAAAATGAATAAAAATGAATAAAAATGAATAAAAATTAATAAAAATGAATAAAAATTAATAAAAATTAATAAAAATTAATAAAATTAATAAAAATTAATAAAAATTAATAAAAATTAATAAAAATTAATAAAAATTAATAAAAATTAATAAAAATAATAAAAATTAATAAAAATTAATAAAAATTAATAAAAATTAATAAAAATTAATAAAAAATTAATAAAAATTAATAAAAATTAATAAAATTAATAAAAATTAATAAAAAATTAATAAAAATTAATAAAAATTAATAAAAATTAATAAAAATTAATAAAAATTAATAAAAATTAATAAAAATTAAATTAACAAAAATTAATAAAATTAATAAAAATTAATAAAAATTAATAAAAATTAATAAAAATTAATAAAAATTAATTAAAAATTAATAAAAATTAATAAAAAATTAATAAAAATTAATAAAAATTAATAAAAATTAATAAAAATTAATAAAAATTAATAAAAATTAATAAAAAATTAATAAAAATTAATAAAAATTAATAAAAATTAATAAAAATTAATAAAAATTAATAAAAATTAATAAAAATTAATAAAAATTATTAAAAATTAATAAAAATTAATAAAAATTAATAAAAATTAATAAAAATTATAAAAATTAATAAAAATTAATAAAAATTAATAAAAATTAATAAAAATTAATAAAAATTAATAAAAATTAATAAAAATTAATAAAAATTAATAAAATTAATAAAAATTAATAAAAATTAATAAAAATTAATAAAAAATTAATAAAAATTAAAAATAAAAAATTAATAAAAATTAATAAAAATTAATAAGAATTGAATTAATAAGAATTGAATTAATAAGAATTGAATTAATAAGTATTGAATTAATAAGAATTGAATTAATAAGAATTAAATTAATAAGAATTGAAATAATAAGAATTAAATTAATAAGAATTGAATAATAAGAATTGAATTAATAAGAATTAATAAGAATTAATAAGAATTAATAAGAATTAATAAGAATTAATAAGAATTAATAAGAATTAATAAGAATTAATAAGAATTAATAAGAATTAATAAGAATTAATAAGAATTAATAAGAATTAATAAGAATTAATAAGAATTAATAAGAATTAATAAGAATTAATAAGAATTAATAAGAATTAATAAGAATTAATAAGAATTAATAAGAATTAATAAGATTAATAAGAATTAATAAGAATTAATAAGAATTAATAAGAATTAATAAGAATTAATAAGAATTAATAAGAATTAATAAGAATTAATAAGAATTAATAAGAATTAATAAGAATTAATAAGAATTAATAAGAATTAATAAGAATTAATAAGAATTAATAAGAATTAATAAGAATTAATAAGAATTAATAAGAATTAATAAGAAATAATAAGAATTAATAAGAATTAATAAGAATTAATAAGAATTAATAAGAATTAATAAGAATTAATAAGAATTAATAAGAATTAATAAGAATTAATAAGAATTAATAAGAATTAATAAGAATTAATAAGAATTAATAAGAATTAATAAGAATTAATAAGAATTAATAAGAATTAATAAGAATTAATAAGAATTAATAAGAATTAATAAGAATTAATAAGAATTAATAAGAATTAATAAGAATTAATAAGAATTAATAAGAATTAATAAGAATTAATAAGAATTAATAAGAATTAATAAGAATTAATAAGAATTAATAAGAATTAATAAGAATTAATAAGAATTAATAAGAATTAATAAGAATTAATAAGAATTAATAAGAATTAATAAGAATTAATAAGAATTAATAAGAATTAATAAGAATTAAGAATTAATAAGAATTAATAAGAATTAATAAGAATTAATAAGAATTAATAAGAATTAATAAGAGTTAATAAGAATTAATAAGAATTAATAAGAATTAATAAGAATTAATAAGAATTAATAAGAATTAATAAGAATTAATAAGAATTAATAAGAATTAATAAGAATTAATAAGAATTAATAAGAATTAATAAGAATTAATAAGAATTAATAAGAATTAATAAGAATTAATAAGAATTAATAAGAATTAATAAGAATTAATAAGAATTAATAAGAATTAATAAGAATTAATAAGAATTAATAAGAATTAATAAGAATTAATAAGAATTAATAAGAATTAATAAGAATTAATAAGAATTAATAAGAATTAATAAGAATTAATAAGAATTAATAAGAATTAATAAGAATTAATAAGAATTAATAAGAATTAATAAGAATTAATAAGAATTAATAAGAATTAATAAGAATTAATAAGAATTAATAAGAATTAATAAGAATTAATAAGAATTAATAAGAATTAATAAGAATTAATAAGAATTAATAAGAATTAATAAGAATTAATAAGAATTAATAAGAATTAATAAGAATTAATAAGAATTAATAAGAATTAATAAGAATTAATAAGAATTAATAAGAATTAATAAGAATTAATAAGAATTAATAAGAATTAATAAGAATTAATAAGAATTAATAAGAATTAATAAGAATTAATAAGAATTAATAAGAATTAATAAGAATTAATAAGAATTAATAAGAATTAATAAGAATTAATAAGAATTAATAAGAATTAATAAGAATTAATAAGAATTAATAAGAATTAATAAGAATTAATAAGAATTAATAAGAATTAATAAGAATTAATAAGAATTAATAAGAATTAATAAGAATTAATAAGAATTAATAAGAATTAATAAGAATTAATAAGAATTAATAAGAATTAATAAGAATTAATAAGAATTAATAAGAATTAATAAGAATTAATAAGAATTAATAAGAATTAATAAGAATTAATAAGAATTAATAAGAATTAATAAGAATTAATAAGAATTAATAAGAATAATAAGAATTAATAAGAATTAATAAGAATTAATAAGAATTAATAAGAATTAATAAGAATTAATAAGAATAATAAGAATTAAGAATTAATAAGAATTAATAAGAATTAATAAGAATTAATAGAATTAATAAGAATAATAAGAATTAATAAGAATTAATAAGAATTAATAAGAATTAATAAGAATTAATAAGAATTAATAAGAATTAATAAGAATTAATAAGGAATTAATAAGAAATAATAAATGTTACATCCTTTGAATGAATGAATGCAAACTCTCTTTAAAGGTTAACTGGTATACGTTTCTTTAGACTATTCTGCCGATCAAAGCTTTACAAAATCTTTTTAGTAATTGCGGCAGTCTTTGTTGTCTACCTGTTGTAATTGTATTTCGAAAGAATAGTTTATTAATAAAACACATCTTTGGCATCATCCTAAATAAATAAAAATCTTGAGAGTTGATTGTCCACTCATAATTAATACCGTTGCTTCTAAAGTGACGTTGTGAAAGAGACTAATAAAACCTACATTGTACACAAGGCAACCGATATAACGAAAAAGAGCTGTTGTCCATGGACTTTATGATATGGTTTTTAAAAATTCACCTAATATTATTTTTTTGTTTCAGTATTCAAGAAAATAGAAAAGCCATTAAAGAAGAGAAAAAGCAAGATGCAAAATTCCAAGAGATTATTGTCAGCTGCAAATCTCTCAGTGGTTACGATGCCAAAACTTACAGGACATTACTTCCTCAGGTATGATCAATTAATTTAAACAATTACTTTTAATTGAAAAACATACATATGATGTAAATGTATGAAATAACTTTATTTAAAAATTAGACGACTCTTGAATAATCTTAAAATACATTAATTTTAATTTTTTATGGTCTATCTCATGGGGGTGGCACAAAATTGATCGAAAACAGTTGATCGAATACATTTGATCGAAAACATTTGATCGAAAGCATTTTATCGAATAGCAATTGATCGAAATGAAAAATGATCGAACAGAAAAATGATCGAAAAGAACAGTGATCGAAAAGAAAATTGTTCGAAACTAGATTTGATAGAAAAAGCAATTGATCAAAAAACCAAATATACATAAAATAGAACAAATAAAAAAACTCGACTAATTTACTTAATCTGTGCGGCCTAGTCATCGCTTGTTGCTTCGCAAAAACAAATATAATGAAAAATGAATAAAACTTAAATAAACTACCTATTTTCTCATTTTTTAATTTTTTTTTGCTAGGGAAACCGCGACTGCTCCATACCGCACAGGCAAGCAACCGTTTTTTATAACAAATTTAACTAACTTACCTAATCTGTGCGAGAGCAATCAGTTAAAATTAAAATACTCCACGCTATCCAGTTTAGGTAACTAGTTAGGTTTTTCTTTTTGCATAATTTTTTTTGCGAAGAAACCCTTGAGGGCTCCAGGCCACATAGGTTAAATAAATTAGGATATTTTAATTTTTCTATAATTTTTTTGCGAGGCAAACCACTACGGCTCCAGGTCAAACAGGTTAGGTAATTTATTTAAATTTTTTATTATTAAAAAAAATTACTAACCTAGTTTGTGCGAGAGCAATCAGTTAAATTTAAATTGGTTAAGTTGGGTAAGTTAGTTAAGTTTTTTAAAAAAAAAAAATAACTAAATTACCTAACCTGTACGAGAGCTATCAATTAAAATTAAATTGATCTAGGCGGACAGTTTATGAAAATTAGTTAGGATCTTTTTTAATTTTTCTTATTTTTCTGTAATTTTTTTGCGATGCAAAACGCGACCGCTTCAGGCCGCACGTTAGGTAAATTGATAAAATTTCTTATTTAAAAAAAAAAAATTGGTCCCATTGGAAGACAACTGGACCTTATTGAAATACATATTTTGTGCGAATTAATCACAATGCTTTAATCTCAATGAAGAAAAATAACCGTTTAGCTCTAAAAATTTAAATTTAACGGTAATGTAAGGATAAAATTTGTTAAACGAGGTAGCTATCGTTTGAGGTTATCGAAAAAATTTGCTATTAGTACCAAATTTAATAACAGCTGAGTTTAGTTTCACCGGTAGTAGGGATTAGACGGACGGTTACATGGTGTATGAATTTTACCATGTTGATTTTCGATATATTGTCCTTTCAATCTAATGCATTATAGATCTATTGTCTTTTCGATCAATTTTGTGCCTCCCATCTCATGGTAAGTGTAATTGACTATTTTTTGAATTAAAGAAAGTATCCATGACACGCCTCATTTAAAAAGTATTCTAATCGTCTTTTTTTATTATTTAAACTAATTATCCCGATCGATAATCTGTTTTTCATCACCAATAATTAGGAAAATTGAGTTTAGAGAAGCGAGCCAAAGAAAGTCAATTCCCCAATACAAAAATATTGACGTGATAGAGTCTTTAAATTCTTTCAGTGTTGTTGGTCGTGTTTTAAACCAATTTTTCTAAATAACCCCACAGCCAGTTATTCGCTCAGATCAGGCGATCTTAGAAGCTGTGAATTTATAATATATCTGCTTATACCTATAAACCAGGAGGCAGTGAATTTTTTATACTTATTTTCGCCGTCGGTGAATGTGACATTTTTTGTTCGGATGGTGACACAAAACGACAATTTGTGAGTTTGATTAAAAATTTAGGATGGGTTCACTAGATGAAAAAAAAAAGACCAGTCTACTTATTTTCCCAGTCATAAATATTTGACATTTATTAAAGTGAAACATTTTACAAATGGAAATTGCAGTATGGCATATCCTAACCGAGGAAAGTCAGTCTGGCTGAAAATTTAGGGATTCAGGCCCCCCCTCAGGAGTAATGGCCGCCCGCGTGAAGGAAATATTTTGGCGTCCTTTGAATATATGTTGTTCTTATATAAATAATATTTTGAAGAATAACAACTTTATGCTGTTACATGTTTTTTAAATTTCCTGGTTTGCTGTAATATTCTTGTAGTCGTTTAACATTTGAGAGAATTGCGAAACCACATTTTATTTTAATTTTGTAATGAAACAACAGATATTTCAAAAACCAATATTTTATTCTTACAAACGAAAAACAAACCAAACTGTAAATAAATAAAACATTCAATTATCCAAAAATTAAATAAGTTTTTTTCTGGATTTGGCTGCTGCAAATTCTTTTATATTGTCAAAATCAATTTTATCGAGGATCTCTTGCTCTATAGCTAAGATTGCCAAACCCGATAATCTTTCTTGTGACATGGTAGATCTCAAATAATTGTTAATTATTTTTAATTTTGAGAAGGATCTCTCACCAGAAGCTACACGTACAGGTAAAGTAAGCAGGATTCTTAACGAAATTGTAATATTTGGTAGATATGAAGTTAGATTGTTTTCAAATATATATTGTAAAATGTCGAGCGGATTTGAAGCTTCAGGTAATGAAAACAATCTTAGGGCTTTTATCTCATTAAATAAATTATTTTCTTCTACGTCAGCCTCCTCCTTTTTCTGATCAGTTAGCTTTTGCTGTAGCATTTAAAAATATCACTAAAAAAACCAAAAACGTTGTCGTAATCAGATATCATTTCAAATCTACTATTTAAAGAACTTAGTGTTTGATCAATTATTTTTAAAGAGAAATTTATTTTAAACTCTGTTTTTGGATCTTGAGGTGTCTCATCTCTCTGTTCATAATCGAACAGTTTTTGGTTTATACTGTCGTCTAACAGTATTTAATGGAGGAAAACCTTGCTCTATCTCAAGAGCGGCTGCTAGTTCTCCAGCTTGAGCAAGTGTTTCCTCGAAAACATTATCATGTCTATAATTTTTAAAATTATCAACTAAATTCTTTAAATAGTTTTGGCACACTTTAATATCAGTCGTTACACTTTGCATCATTTTGCTTACAATGCCAATCTGGAATAAAACATCATACCAAATTATTACACTGCAAATAAATTTAAAAGATTGGATACTTAATAGCATAGCTTCTATGTTTTTCTGCTATTTCTAGAAGGCACAAATTTGAATTAAATGAAACTGAAAAAGTAAAATAATAATTGGGTTTTTCGCGTCGACTAAACGACTTCAAATATGACCGCAAATACGCATAACTCGCATGGCCAACTTTTCATATTTGATTATAACTGTTTTAATTCATGTCTGTCAAGTTTTGAAATTTTTATATTTCGGTTTAAAATTTTCTTACCGAATTTCATACGTGCCTAAATTATTATCTAGAAATTTTTGCTCACTTACGACTAGAAATACTTTGTTTTTAAAAAATTCAAGAATACTAATAGATAATGAAAAATGTAGATCTTATAAGTTATTTTTAACCACAACAGCAATTTCCGGAAATGACCATAAAGTTTGTCACAATGTCACTTTGTGGCTACACATTTTCAATATCTTTTAAATTATTTAACAAATAATAATAATAATGATAAAACAAAAATCTGAACTGCTAAGACTTCAGATTTCACTTATTTTTCTTAATGTGGAAATCAAAATACACACGTACCTATCATTTTAGGTAATGGCTTCTTTATTTGCCGCATCATTACACATAGCAGTAGGATTATCCCTTTCTTTCTCCGGAATTTTAGTACCAGGACTGGATAGAGCTCTTCAAAATGGAACAGACGAAAATGGAGAACTATACGCCACAAAAGACCAATCGGCATTTATAGGTAAATATTATTAATTTTAACAGCAATATTTTCATTTCACCTGATGTAAGAAGTAGAGGAAAGTCGCCCTATTATAGGGTACATTCTTAATATGGGGTATTCCAAGCTGGTATCGAATTCTACTTAATATTTAAACCCTGCGCCAATTATCTGTTCTGTCTTTTAGATTATACGCTTGAAGTGTTGACATAAGCTTTAACTGGTGTTTATTAAAACGACATTTTTTTTGATACATGGTAAGTCTTAGATATTTGTTATGAATAAGCTAAAAGTAGGAGTGTTAGAGTATATTTTGTGTATATAAGTTCTTGATTTTGTTTTCGTTTAAACAAAAAAAATATCATTATTTACATTTGCCAACCGCGTCCTATTATATAAAAAACAAACAGAAGCTATAACATCGGCAGAACGAGGATCTACTATAACTGAGGTTTTTTATTTTAATACCGTAGGACAGTACGTGTCACCATTGATAATATTTCCCAGAAAGAACATGCAAATTGAACTTATGAATGGTGCTCCTCCAGGTTCAATATATGCATGTCATCAGTCGAGTTGGATTCAACAAGATATACCGGGTGTCCAGATTTTTTTGCCCAGCGGATATCTCGGTTATTTAATGATATAAAATTGTAAAAAAAAATATGAAAAATATTTGTCTAGTAGCCTTTTAAATTCCACTACATAAAGTTATATTCATCAATCCACCCCATAGGAACAACCCCTAACTTTTTTTTTTCAAATGTCACCCCTATTTTTTTTCGCTGATATAAATGCTCAATTTGTCCCGAATGCAACGATATGATATTTGATATACTTTACAGAGTCATAAAGCCGGTAAAGACTAAAAACCAATGTTGTGGTTAAAGTCATTAATTTGTATCACCTGGTATTTTCTTTTTATTTTGATTAGAATTGCTTCGTTTTTGTTTTTTTTTTTTTTTGTTACCTATAACTAACTAACGATATGCTTAGACCATTTCTGAAATTGTTCGCTAGCTATAAACAACAGACAAAATGCCCTTTACATTCACTCCAAACGAATATGTTGATATGCTTTTAATTTTTGGTGAGTGCCAAAAAAATTCTCGTGCTGCTGTACACTTGTATCAACAGAGGTTTCCTGAGCGCCGACAACCATCACGTAAAACATATTCTTATGTTGAGACTAGGATGAGAGAAGGGTCATTTCCAGGAAAAGACAAACATCGTCAACATGCTGCTGCTGTAAGAACTGAAGAAATGTGCATTAATGTATTAGCTTATGTGCAAGTACATCCCCAGATATCGACGCGAAACCTAGCTAACGAGGTTCATATTAGTAAGTCGTCAGTACAAAGAATCCTAAAATCCTATAATTTTCATCCGTTTAAAATTCATTTGCATCAGGAACTTAGAGCTGGAGATTTCGAAAGAAGGATAACATTAATAGCACATTTTGAAGATTTAATGGAACGAAATCCCAACATTTTGAACCAGATATTGTGGAGTGACGAATCAAGGTTTAACAATAAATCGTCACAATATGCATTATTGGTCTCCTGAAAACCCTCACTGGGTTAGGGAAACTAACTTTCAGACCATCTGGGGAGTAAATGTGTGGTGTGGATTATTTCAGGGACGACTGATAGGTCCCTATTTTTTTCAAGGTACGTTAACTGGTGCTAGGTACTTACACTTTCTTGAAAATTACCTTCCAGAACTTCTTGAAGAAATTCCAATACAAGAAAGAGGTGCTATGTGGTGGCAACAAGATGGAGCTCCTCCACATAATAGTAATTTAGTTACCCAATTTTTAAACGAACGCTTTGAAAATCAGTGGATCGGAAACAGCGGCCCTTTGAGGTGGCCTGCGCGTTCACCAGATTTATCGCCTCTAGATTTTTTTTATGGGGATATCTGAAGACCGTGGTATTTGAAACACAGCCATTGAATTTAGAAGATTTGCAAAATAAAATAGTACAAGCCTGCAATAACATTACACCAGAAATGATTACAGCGTCATGTACTCGTGAACTCATTCGACGTTTTGAAGCATGTTTGGCAAGTAATGGGGGCCATTTCGAACAATTTTTGTAAATATTTAATTATTTAAAAAACATATTAAGAGGTTTACCTATTCATTGGATTTGTTATTTTTTAATATAATAAAATGATAAAATGTAAACTAATTATTAATGACTTTAACCACAACATTGGTTTTTAGTCTTTACCGGCTTTATGACTCTGTAAAGTATATCAAAAATCATATCGTTGTATTCGGGACAAATTGAGTATTTATATCAGCGAAAAAAAATATAGGGGTGACATTTGAAAAAAAAAAGTTAGGGGTTGTTCCTATGGGGTGGATTGATGAATATAACTTTATGTAGTGGAATTTAAAAGGCTACTAGACAAATATTATTCATATTTTTTTTACAATTTTATATCATTAAATAACCGAGATATCCGCTGGGCAAAAAAATCTGGGACACCCCGGTATTTGTTCAGTGGCTGCACCATTTTATTGAATTTACCAAGCCGACAACAGAAGATCCTGTTCTTATTTTGAACGGTCATTATTCGCATACTAAGAATGTTGCAAGAGACCATCACGTTGTAATAATTTGCCTGCCACATCATTCTTCAGCCGTTGGATGTTGCATTTATGTCACCGTTTAAAACATACTATGCCCAGGAAATCACTCAATGGCTTAAGCAACATCCTGGTCGTATGGTGACAGTTTACCAAGTTGCGGAGCTATTTGGCATGGCATATAACAGAGCAGCCACTGTGGAAAGGGCAGTTAATGGGTTTACAGAGACCGGAATGTTCCCAGTAACCGAAATATTTTCTAAGATTACGATTTTGCTGCTAACAGTTAACAGAAAAATACAAAGGAATATAATGGTGATTGTTCTACGGAAGGAATACCTAAAGAAGACTCAATACTGCGCATCTCGACAGCAAATAGTTTGGGTGGTGCCCTTTCTTCTAGATCAAAATTAGTTGTAAATGTTTAATAAAGTATTGGCGGCACATACTTAGATTTTCTTTTACTATACGGAGAATGGTCGCACTGCGCAGCATTCTGAGTGCATTTTAAAAGGAGATAGAAAACTCCGCCATTTTGATCCCTTATTACGTGTTGCCTATATCTTGGCGCAATATTTTTAATAGGTGCATTTTAATCATCCGCTTCTGCTTCGGAATTGTCGGTTAAAACGACTAAACGACAATTCCGGAAGCAGAAGCGGATGATTAAAACGCACCTAATATTTTGCTTGCTGCTGTCAGTGTCAGTGAATATTATTTTTGAAGTCACAGTTTATTGCTAAAGAATCAGTTAGCTCACTCGGACTAGTTGAAAGTTCCAAAATAACATCCACTCCAGGGATACAAATTCAGGATACGCAGAAGACTGCTGTTTTATTATAGGCGGTTGTCATATATTGTATTATCCGAGTTGCGCAGTGTATAAACTGGAACATTGAGATCAAAAGTGCCGACGCAGAGTGAGCGATCTGATTCTTTAGCTATAAACTGTGGCATAGGAATCAAAATGGCCGCGCCACATACTTTGATTTTCTTTTACTATACGGAGAATGGTCGCACTGCGCAGCATTCTGAGTGCATTCTAAAAGGAGATAGAAAACTCCGCCATTTTGATCCCTTATTACGTGTTGCCTATATCTTGGCGCAATATTTTTAATAGGTGCATTTTAATCATCCGCTTCTGCTTCGGAATTGTCGGTTTTCTTGTTTTAATCTGACAGGTTAAAACGACTAAACGACAATTCCGGAAGCAGAAGCGGATGATCAAAACGCACCTAATATTTTGCTTGCTGCTGTCAGTGTCAGTGAATATTATTTTTGGAGTCACAGTTTATTGCTAAAGAATCAGTTAGCTCACTCGGACCAGTTGAAAGTTCCAAAATAACGTCCACTCCAGGGATACAAATTCAGGATACGCAGAAGACTGCTGTTTTATTATAGGCGGTTGTCATATATTGTATTATACGAGTTGCGCAGTGTATAAACTGGAACATTGACATCAAAAGTGCCGACGCAGAGTGAGCGATCTGATTCTTTTGCTACAAACTGTGTCATAGGGTTCAAAATGGCCGAGCCCTATGTTGGGCGTGTCGGACCTCTCTCTTGTCCCGTATAGTAATCAAAGTATGTGGGCCGCGCCCTATGTTGGGAGTGTCGGATCTCTCTCTTGCACCGTATAGTAATCAAAGTATGTGGTTCAGTGTGAAAGATGTTTGGAATGAGCACATATCTCCATTGTGCCGGAAATGACACGACTAACCACATTTGTGACTTTTGTAGAAGCTTTTAAGTTTTGTAGGTTCCTATATCATTTGTTCAGGTTATAATATAATACATTTTAATTTTAATGTGAATGTTTACACTTTATTTAGGTTTTACGAGGGTTTTTATAACTTTTTTAAAAGTGTGTGTATCAATAAAAGTTTTTATATACTTTTTGAATTTTTGTAGGTACTATACAGAACTGTACTAGATAATTTTTTTAAGTATCTCATATTAGGTATCCTAATATGGGGTGGACACAAACTAATTAAATTATTTTTCAACATAAACTACGCTTAGATGCCAATTCTCAAAAAAAACTCCATTTTTATTTAGTGTTATCTTGCTTGCATAATAAAGAATCAATGTTACTAAAATGAAAGATAAACAAAAACAAAAATAAAAACATTAAATTTTAGTAATAATTAACAATAGGCGACTTTCCTCAGTTATAATTTACTTTTTCAAAGATCTTTATAATTTCGTAAAAACTGTGTGGCATTTAGCGCACAAGAGACTCATTCTGTATACGTGTACACCTTAACATACATTCTCTGATATACATATATAACTTGTTTGTTTGAATCTGTTAGGTGTGTTGGTCATTGCATGATGTAAATAATAATGTGTAGTATTTCCGTAGATGGGGCAGTGGTAGGCAGTTGCAAATCAGACATAATGTTACCTTTGTTTGATGTTTTTTTAAAGAGTGTATTGTTGAAGTTAAAAAATTAGAATATACCCAGGTACACAAAATGAGTACTGTATAGTATGCACGGTGATGCTAACTTTAATACTTTTTTTCTTAGAAGATAAGACAGATTATTTAACACTATAATACATCAATTAATGACAATCCTATTTTTTGCAAAACACGCCAATCAAAATAAACTGTATTTGAAAACACTGCGCTGCTGCTAAAAATCAGTTTATTCCCATAGTAACGTATTAATAACACTGCACAAAGCATTTCTGATTATTGAGTTATATTACATGACCTAGCTTAATTTTTAATGAAGACTTCAAATCTGTGATCTAAATTTCTGGTTTAGCTCTAGTTTAGAAAATATGACACATGGCCGTTTCATAGTAAAACACAATTTGTTTAAAGTTAATCATATTTAAGGTGAAAAAGCTTTCTTTTATAAGACTTTCTTGTAGAGGTTGAACCCATAGAACTGTTCTGAATGCTCCAACAATAGCCAGCCATCATATGTGCGTTCCAGTAGCCTTGATACCGTTCCTCCATCGTACGAAGGTCCTGGTGAAATCGCTCTTCCTGTTCTTCACTTACATCCCCAAGATTAGCGGGAAAATAATCTAGGTGGTTGTGAAGAAAGTGCAACTTGATGCTCATATTACATCCAAGGGTTTGAAAGTGACTCATTAGTTGTTCAACGTGTCTATGCGTTTTTCTCAATTTCTATCATAGTGTCCGTAAATTTTGTCTTTTATTAATGATCTTATCTGTAGCCCATCAAAAATGCCCGCTTTTATCTTTTCTACACTCAGTTTCAGGAACTTTTTTGATAGAAATAGAAAACAATTTCCAGTTTTGTTAACAAACTGTTTTATTAGCCCTAATTTTATATGCAATGGATGCAAAATTATACAATCTTTAGATACTAAAGGTGGGTTTAACACGTTTTGTTGTCCTGGAACTAGATCTTTCCGAGTAGGCCAATCCTTTTTAACCCAATGTTTATTTTTAGCTCTGCTATCCCACAAGCAAAAAAACAAGGATACTTTGCGTATCCACCTTGCTGGCCTAATAGAAAGGACAATTTTTAAATCAACACATATGATCCAGTTATTTTCCACATATTTAATTTTGTCCAAAACCAGAGCAATAGTTGTATATTCTTCTTTTACTTTTGTAGAATATGCAATTAGCAATGACCCTAATTTATTCCATTGTGTAAGAGAACACATTTTAGACTCTGTTTTGACGAGTCTATGAATAAACTCCACTCGCTAGAAACATAATTTTGTAATCCCATTGCAGCCATCAATCCAGGTACAACTTTACAAAATACGAAGTTGTCTTCTTCAGCAAAATATTTGAGGAAATTCTGTTCTCGTGTGCGGTAATAAGAAATTTTAGTTTCTTTCTTTACCAATTTTCTTTCTTTTAGCCTTGAAGCCAAAATTTCTGAAGCTGACTTTGACAGTCCCAGATTAAGTCGTTTAAATCATCTTGATTGAATGGTTTTGGCGTTTCCAGGTCGCATTCAAAGTCAATATCACTACTGTCGTTTTTCGTCTCAAAATCTTCTGGCTCGTCCTGTAAAGTACCAGATTGAGGTTTAGGTGTAGTCTTAGGGCCCAGGACACGTCTATGTGCCGATTGTATGGAAGGATATTCCCATCTGGCTCGATTTTTTCGGTTAATACCAGTTATGTTCACCGAACAAAAATAACAATCGTCATGAAACGTCAAGTCAAGAAACTCTTGTTCGCAAAGACCTACTACTACTACTACTACTACTACTACTACTACTACTACTACTACTACTACTACTACTACTACTACTACTACTACTACTACTACTACTACTTATACTTACTACTGTGATCAAGGGCGGCTCCAGTAGAAGGGGGGGCATAGGGGCCATGACCCCCCCCCCCCCGAGATGAAAATTATTATAATTTATGGGCCTTTTATTCAAAAAAAATTGCTAAAAAGGAAATGGCTAAAGGCAATGCCCCCCCCCCCCCCCCCCTTCCCCCAAAAATTCGTCTTGGTGCAGCTCTTGACTGTGATCGGTTGAATTGAGTAGTTCATTTTAATTTATGTGTATTATATAATATTCCGATTGTCATATTTGTACTTGGTGTTGTGCATATGCTATTTTAATATTTAAATTTTTAATTTATTACTGTTTCTTTATAACTTTCCAATAGTATTATGTTATCTATCTTTGACTTGATCTTTGATTTAGCTTCCAAGTTTTTTAAAATTTTAAGTATCTTTTCTTTCCAGCTAGTGTAGCTGTAATGGTCGTCCCTATAGGAGCTATTAGCGCTGGATTTGCTATGGATTCTTGGGGCAGATTATGGGCAGTTAGATTTGCCATTATACCAACAGTTATAGGATGGTGTTGCATTGCCAGTGCTCCAAATATTACAATGCTGATAGTCGGAAGGATTTTTACTGGATTTGGAACAGGTAACATAAAAACTATGTAGGCATTTCATTGATGAAAAATTTACTTTTACGTAAGCTTGAAAACGAAATAAGAACGGAAAGGAAACGCAGAAATTAGAAAAAATTTATTAAGATCTATTATCACTTGGATATTATTTTTATGGGTGCATTTTTTACATTGTCTAAATGTATTACATTTTTTACATTTTTTTTACATTTTTTACATTTTTTACATTTTTTATTTTTACATTTTTTACATTTTTTAACATTTTTTACATTTTTTACATTTTTTACTTTTTAACATTTTTTACATTTTTTACATTTTTTACATTTTTTACATTTTTTACATTTTTTACATTTTTACATTTTTTACATTTTTTACATTTTTTACATTTTTACATTTTTTACATTTTTACATTTTTACATTTTTTACATTTTTTACATTTTTTACATTTTTACATTTTTTACATTTTTTACATTTTTTACATTTTTTACATTTTTTACATTTTTACATTTTTACATTTTTTACATTTTTTACATTTTTTACATTTTTACATTTTTTACATTTTTTACATTTTTTACATTTTTTACATTTTTTTACATTTTTTACATTTTTTACATTTTTTACATTTTTTACATTTTTTACATTTTTTACATTTTTTACATTTTTTACATTTTTTTACATTTTTTACATTTTTTTACATTTTTTACATTTTTTACATTTTTTACATTTTTTACATTTTTTACATTTTTTACATTTTTTTACATTTTACTTTTACATTTTTTACATTTTTTACATTTTTTACATTTTTTACATTTTTTACATTTTTTACATTTTTTACATTTTACATTTTTACATTTTTTACATTTTTTACATTTTTTACATTTTTTACATTTTTTACATTTTTACATTTTTTACATTTTTTACATTTTTTACATTTTTTACATTTTTTTACATTTTTTACATTTTTTACATTTTTTACATTTTTTACATTTTTTACATTTTTTACATTTTTTACATTTTTTACATTTTTTACATTTTTTACATTTTTTACATTTTTTACATTTTTTACATTTTTTACATTTTTTACATTTTTTACATTTTTTACATTTTTTACATTTTTTACATTTTTTACATTTTTTACATTTTTTACATTTTTAACATTTTTACATTTTTACATTTTTTACATTTTTACATTTTTTACATTTTTTACATTTTTTACATTTTTTACATTTTTTACATTTTTTACATTTTTTACATTTTTTACATTTTTTACATTTTTTACATTTTTTACATTTTTTACATTTTTTACATTTTTTACATTTTTTACATTTTTTACATTTTTTACATTTTTTACATTTTTTACATTTTTTACATTTTTTACATTTTTTTACATTTTTTACATTTTTTACATTTTTTACATTTTTTACATTTTTTACATTTTTTACATTTTTTACATTTTTTACATTTTTTACATTTTTTACATTTTTTACATTTTTTACATTTTTACATTTTTTACATTTTTTACATTTTTTACATTTTTTACATTTTTTACATTTTTATACATTTTTTACATTTTTTACATTTTTTACATTTTTTACATTTTTTACATTTTTTACATTTTTTACATTTTTTACATTTTTTACATTTTTTACATTTTTTACATTTTTTACATTTTTTACATTTTTTACATTTTTTACATTTTTTACATTTTTTACATTTTTACATTTTTTACATTTTTTACATTTTTTACATTTTTTACATTTTTTACATTTTTTACATTACATTTTTTACATTTTTTACATTTTTTACATTTTTACATTTTTTACATTTTTTACATTTTTTACATTTTTTACATTTTTTACATTTTTACATTTTTTACATTTTTAATTTTTTACATTTTTTACATTTTTTACATTTTTTACATTTTTTACATTTTTTACATTTTTTACATTTTTTACATTTTTTACATTTTTTACATTTTTTAACATTTTTACATTTTTTACATTTTTTACATTTTATACATTTTTACATTTTTATACATTTTTTACATTTTTTACATTTTTTACATTTTTTACATTTTTTTTACATTTTTTTACATTTTTTTACATTTTTTTACATTTTTTTACATTTTTTACATTTTTTTACATTTTTTACATTTTTTTACATTTTTTACATTTTTTACATTTTTTACATTTTTTACATTTTTTACATTTTTACATTTTTTACATTTTTTACATTTTTTACATTTTTTACATTTTTTACATTTTTTACATTTTTTACATTTTTACATTTTTTACATTTTTTACATTTTTTACATTTTTTACATTTTTTACATTTTTTACATTTTTTACATTTTTTACATTTTTTACATTTTTTACATTTTTTACATTTTTTACATTTTTTACATTTTTTACATTTTTTACATTTTTTACATTTTTTACATTTTTTACATTTTTTTACATTTTTTTACATTTTTTACATTTTTTACATTTTTTACATTTTTTACATTTTTTACATTTTTTACATTTTTTACATTTATTTACATTTTTTACATTTTTTTACATTTTTTACATTTTTTACATTTTTTTACATTTTTTACATTTTTTACATTTTTTACATTTTTTACATTTTTTACATTTTTTACATTTTTACATTTTTTACATTTTTTACATTTTTTATTACATTTTTTACATTTTTTACATTTTTTACATTTTTTTACATTTTTTACATTTTTTTACATTTTTTACATTTTTTACATTTTTTTACATTTTTTACATTTTTTACATTTTTTACATTTTTTACATTTTTTACATTTTTTACATTTTTTACATTTTTTACATTTTTTACATTTTTTACATTTTTACATTTTTTTACATTTTTTACTTTTTTAGCGTGGGGCAGTATACCAGCAACAGTCTACATCACAGAAATTGCTAGAGCAGATATGAGAGGATCTCTGGTTGTAACCGCACCATCTCTTGCTTCACTTGGTAAGTTTGTGTTACATGTGCATTTTAAATGAACACTATGATTGGTTTACTTAGAACTCAACAATGCATTTACAGGCAATGTTTCTTCTCGGTACGACAAAGAAATAACTTTGGTTTAGCAAATTGACAAATAAACTTAGTTTTATCAAATTTTTACAAGCTCATTCGTACCTATCAAAATTAATAGCTTATAATGGTCCTGTGAAGCCTTAAATAAGCCATAAATAAGACGTTTTTAATAAAGAATGCAGAAAATAGAATTAAAAATATTTATTGATAAAATATCTATTAACCATAGGCCACTAAGAGTTATTTTCTTTGTAGCGCATTCGATCACTCCTCTTTAGCCATAACTGAATTGATTTTTTTCTTTCTTTCTGATTTGTAGTTGCTCTTGTATAATCGCTCGTAAAAAGAAATTTAGGTAAGAGCATTCTAGTCACAGGAAGTTATACTTTGCATAAGTTAGTAAAAACCGAAAGAACAATATCTATGAAACAAACAAAAATGAATTTATTTTGACAATTTTACTTTAACTTTACTCAAAATGGCTATATAATAGGGGGCTTTTGATATCAATAGCTCTCAAAATCTCCATAAAAACAGAAAAAAAGAAATAGATGAATATTTGAATTAAATCTTTTATTAAGATGTTTACTTTTCAATTCATTTAATTATTTTTATTTAGAAGAAACAGGATATTAACGTTTTATGTATATAAACAAATATTCATTTATTACCTGTAGAAAGTGTTTCAGGAACGTGCTACATCGGTAACAGAAACACCATTAATCTTCCTTCTCTGATGTTGGTTTCATATTATTCAAGTAAAAAGTATCTAACACAAACACAAATACACAAAATAGCCAAAGACACTTTTGGCGGCTATAATCGCGTACGAAATAAAATAATCAATAATCCATAGACATTTTTGTCTTGGGCTTGAATGTAGTGTTAAGTTAAACGTCAAACTTCACTTAATTTGATTCTTCTTGTTAAATTTGAATTATGTAAGTTTCCGTATGACTAAAAGACGTTTGTAAAACATTCTAAAGATGTCTTTGAGCTTTCATAATAATATATGGATTTTCCAAGACGTCGTTAAGACGCCATAAAAAGGTCTTTGAGCTCTCACATTAATACGTCTAAATTATGGCTTTTGCCAGACATCTTATAAGACGTCTTAATAACGTCCTAGGACATTGAGACCATTCTCTGATCATTTTTAGATTGTATATTAACCCCTTTAAAGATTTTAATGGAAACGAAATCAAAAAGAAGGAAAAATTTATTTTAATATAAAAATTATAATAATATACACGAATCCAATAAACACATTCGGTATTATGATACCATCGAATTATAGTAATCAAAGTAACGATTACTTTAAACGAGTAACGAATACTTAAAAGTGTTGTAATACATAGATAAAGTAATAGTTTTATTAATAAAACTGCAGAATATTTAAATGGGGTATTGATTAGGTAGTTATTCAATAAAGTTCGGATTATAACTAAATTTATTTTCTTCATACAGAACAAAAGAAGCCACGAAATGCCTTTTATAGAAATAACACAAAAACCTAATTCCAATGAATTTATCTATCGGTAGCGTACCAAGGGCGTACCGAAAGGGTTTTATTAAATATATTTAAAAAAATAACGATAATCGACATCTCTACGCAAACCGACCGGCAGGTGTTGGCCTGTGCCGGCTCAATGGGCGCGCTGCTTTATTCATTTGTAGCGTGGCGGCATGGCCCCCTGCGGCTTACTGTACCACTACTTGAAGGTCCTACCACTTTCCCATTGACTTACTCATTCACTGCCATTCATTTCACGTCATCGATGGTTAAACGCTAGTCGGCTAAGTCCAATGGTGATAAGGCGCATGGTAGTATGTCCCAGCCGTGCTTAACTATTGCGAGAACGTGGATATACAGTAATATCTCGGCCTTTTAACCATTTCTTCCAAATGTCTTTTTATCCTTTACCATTCTGTTTATTTTATCTAGCTGTATCTAGCTTTTTCTCCTTAGATCCTAAGCTATTCCATATACACCTTAGTCTATCTCTCCGTGGTTCTGTTATCTTAGCCTCCATTATTATTTTCAATTCTTACGACGTGTGCGTCCGTAACATTAGATTTTTTGATAAAATACGTCTTTGTGATATTCAAATATTAATAAAAATGTTATTTATTTTTTAGGTATGCTTATAGTTTTCCTACAAGGTTGGTTTTTGCATTGGAGGACTGTGGCTTGGCTCTCTAACATTTATGCGATTTTCCCAATATTTTTACTTTTCTTAATTCCTGAAAGTCCGGCCTGGTTGGTATCAAGAGGTAAAATAGAAGAGGCTGTTAAGAGTTTAAAGTGGTTGAACAAGTACCAACCCCAACCAGAAAATAGAGTAAGTATATTAAAAAAAAAATGAATATATGATAATAAAAGCTTCCTTTAAAGACCTCTCAGCTTCACTTGTAAGCAGTTTTGGATATATAATTTATATACCTCGTCTTTAATATTTTTCTTCCTATATCTTATATATTTCTTTCATTTCAGCATGAATCTTACGCAGAATTACAGCTTAATTTCTTGCAAAAGGAACACCAGAAGAAATTAGAAGAACAAGCACGAGTCGGGGATACCGGAAGTTTGGCTAAATTTAAAGAGTTCTTGAAACCAACGGGATACAAGCCTCTGCTAATTTTGTCTGGACTCTTTTTCTTCCAACAATTCGCTGGAATTTATATAACACTTTTCTACTCAGTTACTTTCTTCCAGGTATGTTAAAAAAAATAAAAGCGAACGAACGGTTTAAAGTTTTAAGGAATTCAAAAATAAACGTTGTGACAATTATGTGCAAGTCAAACGAGGATAATCTCTAAAATGTTGTCTATGTTTTTTTATTCATCGAAGAATGGTTTTTAATATATGCGAAATGCGATATCCTCTTGTTAAAATTAAGTACCTATTTAAATATGGACTTGCCCAAAACATAAGAATTAGTCAAAAACTATTTAGAAAATAGATACTTCTTTGTTAAGTATAAGAGTGATAATTCTGAAAAATATCATACCACAAGGGTCATATTTGGGACCTTTGTTATTTATTCTATTTTTAATCTGCGACTTCGATGTCTTCTAAATCTTCGTTACAGAAAAAAGGGTTTTTTTTCATCCGGTGGACTGTAGTAACTGTAGCCAATAGAAATATGTGATTCTTGTTGAGAGATCCCCAGATACTGATACAATATATCTCACTAAGTTGGAACCATATGGAAAACTTAATGCATGATCCAAAACTTAAAATGCAACCATCAGCTATAATTTTTTTTAAGCCTTATATGAAGTTTGTCAAAAAATATGATTTTTCTGAAAAGTAAAGTACCTTTATTTTTGACAAAGCTCGTATACGACTGATAAAATTGGATATCCGATGGTTTTTTAACATCCACTGCTTTGTGCATAGCTGTCTTTTGTGACACGACATAACAGCCTTTGAGGTTCGTTTTCGGGCTAGTAAATCAGCCTCTTCGTTGCCCTTATGTTCTCTGTGGCCTGGTACCCAGACTAAGGTTATTCTGTTTTGACTACCTAGCTCTGCTAGGGTTTCCAAACAGTCCCACACAAGCTTTAATTGTACCTGTATGGAACTGACTGGTTTTAACGTCGCACTTTTTGCACTTTCTGCAAGTGTTATTTCCATGTTAACCTGTGGCCAATGATGACGCACAAGTATTTGACCTCTTCGGCAAATGGAATCTTCGCTCCTTTTAGTACTGGTGATTTTAGTCCTGTACCTTTTGTTTTGTAATTTTGACTAGTGTGGTTTTGTGAGGATTTACTGTTACTTCCTTCTTTCTGCACCACTCGTCAACGATGTTTAGAGCGGATTGTGTTCACTCCGGTATTGTACCTGCAAACTTGCTTCTTATAATAATCGCTATGTCATCGGCATACCCTAGGCAGTAGAAGTCTGCAGGTAGTAGACTTTTTATTCGTCACTAGGACTGACCAAATGAGGAGCAGTGTAGCTTCGCCTACAGATGATGTTATTACCTTTTCTTCTAGACTGGCTTTTATTCAGTAACAAAGGACTACTGGTACCCCTTTCGTTGCTAGTGCGTTAATTATAGATCTTGTATGGGCATTATTAAAAGCAAATATTGATATTCATAAAATTTTACCACAAATCTACCATTTATAACTTAAACCATTTGAAACCCCCAATTCCAATTTATTTAAATGACAAAAAATTCATTAAACTAGTATATATCCTAAATAGGGGATTGTAGATATGATATTAGTAATAACGGTTGCTCCCTCAATATCTACGAAAATTGCTACTGTCATTTCCTTATCCTACAGGGATTTTGACAATAGTATGTTGAGATCATTCGGGGCCAAATCGGTTGACTTTCCTGACTGATATGCATATTGATGGTAACTGAGAGGATTTCCTCTCAGTATTTCGTCTCGTATCTATTAATCTTTCTAGCGTTTTCAGCATAAATGACGATAGACTGATTGGGCAGTACGACTTTGGTGTCATATCATTAAACCTTATTACTTTAGGAAGATATATGGCTTTCACCGTTTGCCACGCATTTGGTATATGTCGCCAGGCTATTCGTGATTTAAATATGCGACACATGTAGAATTAAAGTCCCTTTTGTTGTAGAGTGGGACATATCCCATCTACTCCTGGAGATATTTCTGTAGCTAGCTTCCATTCCGAAGGAGTTGGTCTACTATTGTTAACGTTTCCTCGAAGCTTTTTGTATGGTTTTGATCATCTTTCCTGAGAAATCCTACCTTATTTGCAGTACCCTCTTAAGCTAGGACTTTGTAGATTCTAGAGAGCATGTGAATGTTTCAGATAACTCCTCACAGCCTTATTTATCTCCTTGTTTTTCTGCGTGCCTTATAAAGGGACCAGTGTTCGGTTGATTTGGCTTTATTAAATAGCCATCGCATTTCACCTCTAAGGTGTTCCTAGTATTTGTTCCACCAGACTGTTTTTGTTCTTTGCTGTCTTGTTTTCTCCGGATAGTTTTCCTCGTAAGCGGTTATAATGGCCTTAATTACTTGGTCTACTACTCAATCAAGGCTTTGTTTACATTTTATTTATTTTGAGATAGTTGAATACCTTTCCAAATTCGCCACTCTAGGGTTTCTGTAATTAGTTAAAAGGTGGGGTAATTAGATAAAATCTAATATGTATGTGGTCTGAACACGATGGTTTGTCTGACACATGCCATTTTGAGATATTATCACTTGATTTATTACCTATATTAGCAATTACTAAATAATCAAATAAGATGAATGGTAACAAAGACTCGCCTCTTGTATTGATATCTGTACTTCCCCAAACGGTATGGTGGGCTTTGACATCGCATCCTATTATAAGTTAGAGGTTAGCTCTTGCCGCATATGAGGCTTTTTCGCCTAATATATGCGGGCGACATAGCTCCTCGTCTGGGATATATGCAAAATAGACCAGCCATAATTTTGTTCCTTCTTCTGTCGTCGTAGTTAAGCACAGCACCGGTATCAGTAAATAATTTATCCTATTGTTGTATAAGGTACATGCGCAAGGTCTCTTAGACCTTTCGTTATAAAATATCATACCTTGGTTGGGTTATAGGCCTGCTACCCTCCCGCTACCCAGATAGCACAGACACGTTTTAAAGACATCTTAAAGACGTTTGTTCATGACGTTTTGAAGATGTACGATGAAAAATGTTTTAAAGGCGTCTATAGGATGTACATTGTTACAAAACAAGGCGACTTTAGGACATTCAATTTTACACGTCTTTAAGGCAAACCGTATTGGACGTGTTTAAGCCGTCTATTTACTTGATGAAAATTCGTTTAAAAAATAAAAATTCGCCAGCGTCTATTGAAAAATTCAACTCTGACACTGGATATTGCAGTTTCTCAGGCACTGTCTTTGGAAATTGCTCCAAAAAATGCAGAGGCATATATTATCATGACCACTTCGGAAATTCATTAATAGTAAACCATGATAAGCAAAATGAAGATCCTGATTCCTCACCATGTCAGTCATGTAATGCTGCCTCAAGTATTGGCCCTAAATGTTATTTTTGTGCCAGCCTCGTTCTAATTGCCCGGCTTAAAATGTCATTTGCAAGGAATGTAATAAACCTGAACATTTTGCAAAAGTATTCTCATGCAAGAAATTTTAAGTAAAAACTACTACTGCCTGGATTCAGAATGAACCTAATCAATTACTAGCGGCAGCTCCGAGATTCTTATCCAAATCACTCATTAAAATTGAAGTTAATAATATCGATGCACTGCAGACGCTTTAATAGATACCGGAAGTTCTGAATCATTGATAAAAATTTTATTCTAAATCTGTAGTAACAACTACCTATTCACAGCAATATACCATTCATTGTAGAAACTGATGCTTCGGAACACTCAATAGCAGCTACCTTCAGTCAAGAAGGGCGACCTGTAACATTCTTTTCGAAGACTTTGACCAAGAGTGAACAACACCATTCATCCATAGAAAAAGAAGCTTACGCGATTATTGAAGCACTTAAAAGATGGCGTCATTTCCTAATTGGTACTCATTTTAAGCTATATACAGACCAAAAATATGTTTCTTTTATGTTTATTCAAAGACATAAAAATAAAGTTAAAAGATACTCAGGTTGAGACTAGAACTGGCTTGATAAAGTTTTAATATTTTACCGAAGAGAAGTGGATAATATCGTCTGTGACGCCTTGAGCAGAGTGACTAGTTTGACCTGTAATCAAACAGCACTGTTCTACCTGCATCAAGCACTTCGTCGCCCAGGAGTTACAAGAATGACCCACTAGCCTGCGCAACTCACCACCTAGCCTAGCTTGTGGCTGCACTTTGCGAACCTCAGCTGTGTCCTCTGAGTGAATTTTATCGTGGGTCTTGGAGATCGAGTATTGGACTTTTCCCAGTCTCTCTGGACTCATTTTGATCTTTAAGTACCCTACTGCTACCACTGCAAGCTTCACTGAGGTAAGAGCCTCTTTGAACGAGACTTCGTTCGTCCTAGCCTTCTCTCTCAGTAGGCTGACCTATGACAGTGTTGCTTCTGTTGAACATGGGTGTTTTGGAGTTTCTGTGCGTTGCTTTGCAGCTTCTTTCTCCTTGATTCCTTGAAATTCTATCCTCTGGGGCTTCTGTGGCTTTGTTTGGGCTCTTTAAAATATTTACTTAATTACTTGCCTTTTTGCGGTTGTGTAATCAAAGCCAGTTTTCAAAAGCTCCTTTAACCTCGTTCTTGAATGTTCACGACGGGCAAAATTTACTTCATCTTCTAGAATATGGGCTAGGAGACTTTACGCCTCTTTGTTATCTTCTCAGCATTTGCAAGAGACGTTGCCTTCGTCGTATTCCCTTTCGAGATCGACGATGTTGCCTTGGTTTGTTGCATTTTGCTGTAGTATTCATATTTGATCATACGAGTAGCAAGGGAAAAACAGTCCTCTACAACAGTGCCCCCCGCATGCCACAGGAAGGTCTTGATACTCTGAGAGATGACCCGGTGTCTCAGAGGCTCCATTTGCAATACCTTGCAATACCAATTTGCATAGAAGTTCCACTACGGTTAACCTCCACATTATTGGGATATAACTCCTCTGGTATTGCAGATGGAGATGGTATCTTGTCATATCTGTTTCTCTGCAGTTGTCCCATAGCAGCTGAGCCATCCATCTGGATGTGGTGCTTTCTGCTCCTCCATATTCGCATGCTCTTTACACAAATTTATGTGGCCTCTTGTTAAATTTTCTTTCTATGTCTAAGAAGGTACACACGACAATTTCCTTGTATGTCAGTCAGTAGCGGCTCGTGACATTTTAAGGTGGGTGGTCTGCACGAACCACAACCAGTTTAAAATAATAATAAAAACCCGATAATAAAAATATATACATATAATATTTATAACCGAAAACAAAAAATATCAGTAACAAAATTTATACTTGCACCCTATTTCATTTTCTTAAACTGGAGATCAATACGGCGGTCTTTTTTGGAGGCAAACTTTTCAATTACTTTCTCATTGAAATTGGGTACAGAGGCGACGAATTTTTTTTCTATTGAAAGCATCGATAAAGCAGATAGACGATCTTCACACATTGAATTTCTAAGAAAAGTTTTTATGCGCTTTAAGGTGGAGAAATTTCGTTCGGCTTCAGCAGTCGTCATGGGAGTAGTCGTCAGAATTTCCAACAACTTTTTAGTTTCTGCCATTGTTTCTTCCAAATTGTTAAAAATTATAAATTTTAACAAAGGTACTGCACCTTTCAATGTCCTACACTGAAAATTTGAATACAAAACTGACAACTCTGTTCGTAAACGTTGTTTTTCCAAAATATTATAAGCTGCACATGTTAAGTCCAGGTAATTTTCAGGAAATGACTTGTTATAATTTTCAAAATGTTCTGAATTCAAAAGCGATGCGGCAACCAAGTGATTTGTAAAAGCAAAACGTTCATTTGCATTATTTATAATAACATCACAAACCTCTATACATGCAATACGGTGGTCTTCTTTGCTATTATTTAAACGTTATCTTTTTGCATCACAGGGGACTGTACTAAAATTTGAAGCTTGCTGTATGATGACATCTATTTTATTTCGAACGTCATTAATGCTTTTCTCAAAATTATTTACCACATTTTGTGCATATATTGGATTCATGTCTCTTTTTTGTAGTTGGTTATATAAAATTTCAACATGTGGCATAATATAATTAAAAAAAGTCAGCCAAAAAGTAAAATTTGGATCTTCCAGAAAACGTCGAATACCTCTTGCTTCTTTACAGGTCACTGCATTTGAATCTTCTTCAAGATGTATCATACATTCTACAATACAATCTCTATGTTCGTAAACCACATTAACCGTACGAATATTGAAATTCCAACGCGTAGGTGCAGAACGGGGTACTTTTTTTCCTATAAATTGGTTCAGAACCGCGTGTCTTTGCGGCGAATGACTAAAAAATCCAGGTATGTCATGTAAATCTCCAAAAAAACACGTACTTGAGAATTAATTGAACATGCTCGTGACATCACCAAATTTAATTGATGAGCATAGCAGTGTACGAAATGTGCATTTTCGTATTTTTCCTTGATTATTGCCTGAACTCCGCCATGTATTCCACTCATTACAGCTGCCCCATCATAGCTTTGAGCAATAAGCTTTTTTTTATCATTTTTTAAAATAGGGTCAATAACATTAAAAATATTGTTACTTAATGAAACAGCATTATGATTTTCGGGAAGCAAAAAAGTCCAGAACCTTTCTACTGGGTTTCCCTCCTTGGTAACGTAACGAAGAACAATCACCATTTGAAATTTAGATGAACCGTCTGTAGTTTCATCAGCTATCACTGCTAAAAACGGGGCCTTATTTATTTTGTAAAGAATTTCCTCGCGGTACACTTCCAGCATGCAATCTAAAATTTCATTTTGTATAATTTTTGAGGTGCCTTTAAAAACCGTTGCATTTTTAAGATGTTCACTAAGTGTTTTATCAAGTTCTGACGTAAAATTCACCAAACCTCGAAATATACCGGGATTTTCGGATGATTCACTTTCATCATGTCCTCTTAAGGCTAGCTCGAAAGCCCCACAAAATTTTATGCAGTCAATAAACTTTGATAACACATACCTATTGTTCGTTACTTCCTCGTTGTGCTTTTGTATATTTATCCAATAAGCAGAATCAAGTTGAGCTTGAATATTCACTTTCCCAAATAAAGCAAATTTCATTTGATTGGTGATATGCGCACGGCTTGTTTCATGTTTTTTCACTTTTTCGCTTAAATGTATTAAATCACGTACGCCTTTTTCTCGCCAAATTTTTTCTTCGTTATCAGTTCCGAACAATGCACAAGGAAAACAAAAAAAAAGCGTTTTTTTCGCCACAGCCACAAATCCAATTATTACGAAGATATATGTCTTTATTAAATTGTCTTTTATAAGTTTTTCAACGACTTTTACCGTTCACTTCAATATTGAGTACAAGAATAAGAGGACGTCCACGTTCTTTTACTACCAGTTGTTCCTGAAATTCAAGCTTTTGAAATTTAGTTTCGCCGAGTTTAAAAACAATATCCATTTTGACGGGTAATTGCAATTTTAAAACGAGCGCGAAAAATGAATACGATCAACCACTGCACTGAGTTATGTTATGTGTTTACGTAATACTTATAATAAAACTGCGGCATGCCGAGCCGACAGTCGCTGCAAAGAATGCAGCACATCTTAACGTGATCGGTGCGTGGGTCAAGGTCCGTCGGCTTTCCTCGATTTACTTCGTGTATATATTTATATGTATTGCAAAGAGCTGCACATGGAGGAAAGATTATTAAGCTGCAGTTCTTGCAGTCGTCACTCGTGAGGTGAGATACAGTTGTTTAAATACCGATTTTTCGGAAATTTTGAATGAGGTTTGCTTCGTCGTATTTTTCGTAGGAGCAGAGGCGGCTCCAAGTAGGAGCAAATCATTATTAAATAAAAGGTCAGTTACGCACGATAAAATTATGGAAAATTTAATATGCTTAATGCAAACATTCAGGATTTATTATGGTGGTTCTGCAGCTCTGCAGCACTAATGGAGGAGCCGCCACTGATGTCAGTGCATCCCGGATTTCGAGTCAGCTGTTTCTCTCGATCTTCCTACTCGGTACGCGTTTAATAACAAATTTAATGCGAAAACATCACATTTTGTAACCATTCTTGGATGAACAAATTATAACATTTACTGCAATTTTCAATAAAAATAAATATTAGATTTTCATTAAACTAAATAAAAATATAGTTCCTACAATTCTGATATTTAAATATAAAATTAGGTCTGTTTGAATTAATAACATAAAGTATACTGAACAACAAATAAGTTCTACCTTCGATCAGACAATACTTTATACGTCTAATGTAATAACATTTACATGTCATTTTAACTAGAATAATACGAGTAGGTATATAATATTTATGAATTGTAAAAACAAATATTTCTTTATTATTTTGTAACTAATGACTTATTTGACCTAGGCCAGAAAAGTATTACTTTTTTGTTATCCTGTGCATCTTTCTGGACATTTTGACAAGTTACACAGTAGTACGAAAAATGTGTATTATTATGAATAGACGAAAATATATATTTATTTTTAAGTAGAAATAAAAAGCAGAAAGTTTGTCAACTACAGGATCTTTAATTAAATTTAAAAAAATGATAAAGCTTGCAAGTTAAAGTCGAAATAGCTTGTAGGCTTTTATAATTTTTAAGAATCTAATTAAACAGACTTTATATTGTTCTCATTTCTATTTAATATACTTCGGACCACTTTGAGTAATGGATATAATATTTGGATATTAATTTTTGTTTAATTTTAGGAAGTGGGAAGTACAATAAATCCATACCTAGCTTCAACTTTCCTCTGTTTGATAAGAATGTTAATGGCTTGCTCAAACACTTACTTCTTGAAAACGTTCAACAGACGAAGTTTACTAATTACCAGTGGGTTTGGAATGGCTATTTGTACAGGAATGTCTGGACTGTTTACACATTTAAACAAAAATGGTAATTACTTGTTTCTATTATACTGTTATTAACAAACATGTAGGTAGAGTAAATAAATTTTAAAAATGTATATTAAAATAGCTATAAATCATCTACAAAATCTAGGTGGCAGGTAGACAGTTGAAACTTTCACAGAATGTGTATTTCTGTTGCCGCTATAACAACAAATATTAAAAATTAAAGGAGGCTCCCCTACTAGAAACGTGGTTTTGTCTTTTTTGCTCGATCTTAATAAAGTATTTAATAAAAATTATTAACCCTATTCTTGGCAAGAACAGATTCACTGGAGAAAAAATTTTAAGTGTCTAATTTTTTTATGTTAGTATTTTACTAAGGTTTGCATGTAGTACAATAGTATTGATATATTTCTATATGTATGCGTACTTATATCTTATTATCGCGCCTAATTTAAAAAAAAGTAAAATTTTATAAAGCGTGTACTCACCATTTCTCAAAATGTTCGACTTAACCAACATGCATCTGTTTCAAATGATATATCTCGACTAAAATGGAAGCAATTGACTTCAAACCTAAACGGCCGTTAATACAGGGTGTGGTACATACGCTGTTGCCAACATCATCCCCAAATTTAACGATTTACTTTTTACAAAAAATCGGGAAAATTGGCATCTTGAGAGATACGATGCCAAGAAAAGGATTAAATATTGTATTTGTTGGAAATAATCAATAATAAGGTGGTCACAAAGTCACAATCAACACATCCGTTTTGAAAACTCTCGTCCTTTAATCTATGTTTTGTGACGTGTGTCATTAATGTCACTTGTAAAAAATGTCATGTAGTTCAGTAGTTAATTTTACTGTAAGATGGTCGTCCTGTTTACATTAAATTCTGCTAATAGAAAATTGTAATAATCTACATGTCTTATTACCCAGCACTCTACGAGATACAGAAAAATATCTCCAACAGGATGTGTGCCAAGAGTTCATATAAACAAAAGATATCAAATTTTATGTTTTTTTTTATCGAGATGTCACAAAAATATTGCGGGTGAGTCTAGTATGGCGGCAAGTATTGAAAAACTCAAAGGCCGAGAAAATTGGGAATGGGACGTTTCGGCGTTGCCAATTCGGCGTGGCCGTTTTGGCGTGGCCGTTTGGACGTTGGCCATTTCGGCGCCGGCCATTTTGACGTTGGTCATTTCGTAGTTGGTAGTTTTGGCAAACTTAACAACATAATTTTTATAAATTTTAAATAATTGTTATATTTAATATAATTAGTGAAATCCGACAACCGGGGGTTGATAATTAATTTAAATAATTCTTATATATTACATATTATATCCAAATTTTTTATTTCGAATTCAAACAACATCCCAGCATCCCGCCTAGTGGGCGCCGTTTAATTACTTCTGGGAAAAGAAATATCTACGCGTAACTCTGACGGTCGCTAGAACAAAACAGATGTCGCCGATAGGGTTATATTCAGGAATTAATACATGGCTTTATAGTCTTTATGCTCGAACGCATATTCGTTCTCTTTCCGATACATTGGCGTATATGGGAAATTTAAGTATAAATACCCGGGTTTTTTGTGGTCAAAAGGATTAACTTTTTCTTCTTCACCGAGTCAAGTTAACAAGAATACGCAAATATCCATCCACTACGGTGACTCCTTTTTCTTTATATTCGTCAAATATAATTAAAAAGAGATATCGCTACCCTTACGGTAGTCGTGTTCTTGTTATATTTTGAGAACGGAAATAAAAGATATCGACGGAGTAGAGAAATTAGGTTCTATAAACGACGGCTTCTGCATAGGTATCCAGTTGTCCTTAGGACGACCACCTTTTTCTTATATTTTATATATAAATAAAAGGAGATATTAGTCAGGTTGACCAAGCAGATACACGTTGAATAGAACCGGATTTCGCTCCTAGAACTGTTTTGTAAAGTTGTATCTACCGAGCGACTAAAATATTGGCGTAACTAATACTGGTGATACCTCGCTAGTCTAGTTAAACGCCAGATATTTTGTATCTCCGATTCAACATTATAAAATGTTACTAAACGATTAAAGGTACTACTCCAGGCGACGTTCGTAGTGGATTTCGTCACCCTTCTGGCTGACCCGATGAACTTACGCCCGGTAGACCTTTTGTCAGCGGTATACTTTTCTTTCTGTAAGGTTTCTTTTACGTAGATTTAAAACGATAATCGCACTATTAAAGTAATCAAACTAGTAATTATTATTCAGATATTCCGGGGGAGAATTTAGACAAACGTTAATAGGTTACAGGTATCACTTTATTACTTTTATATTCATTAGCGGGAAAATTCGCGTCTGTGTGTTATTGTCATATTTTTGGTATTCATTGGTAAACGTTTATTGTGGTAAAAAATTATAGGGTTTTTATATTGTGCTAAATTATGTTATTTAGAGAATCGATAGTGATGTTGTTGTCATAAATATTAATTGTTCTAAAGTCAGTCAATGCTCTCAAGCAATAAATTAAGTCATTTAGATTTATGGCCAAAGGGCCGAGTTGTAAAGTTTCGGTTGTCTGTAAGCAGTACCTGCCCCTTTCCGTAAAGATAAAAAAGTACTTTCGATTTTACTTTTAAATGGCAAACAGATGTAGATTAGTAGGGTAAACGCCTTGATTTGTATATATTTTACAGTTAGTTTGCGGTTTAAAAAATATGTTTTCTGTCGTTCTTTGTAAAACAAAATTGGGTAGACAAATGTGTCATTTTAGCCGTACGGAATTTTAGTTTTGTGTATCGAATTTTCGGGAAAAAGGAGATATGTACAGCGGCGGGTAGAATCATGAATATTGAGGAGGGTCGTATTTATTTATACATATCCACATATCTTTAGCGGGACATTACGCGGAAGTAGTCGGTATGTTTGTTATTTATTTAGAATAAATAGGTGAAATTGTGTTTGTGGACTAGCTAACGTATTCTCAGAACTGTGATTAATGACACTGATTTGTCAATCGACAGAGCAAAAGAGCATCGTGCCAAAAAAGACGCCTTAGGCCACCATAGACCGCCAGGGACCTCAATAGTCAGGGCCTAAAAATGGTATTTCCCTTGCGGCTATGTAAATTAAAGCCTGATAGAGGCTTGGATGGATCTCTACTGAGATACCCCAAAAGTGGGCCTGACGGGCATCCCCCTTTATATTAGGTGTTCTCCGATCGACCGTTTAGTGTTGTTCATACAGGACTGAGTATGTCACTAAATTACGTTGTTGGAATATTAGAGAAAGGCGTGATGCACGGTGAGGTAAATCTACACTCCGGTTTTTACACATATTAGAAATAATAAATTTAACCGACTTCAAAAAGGAAGAGGTTCTCAATTCGACGCAATATTTTATATCTCACAACACTCCGCGTGCTACCATCGTACTCTCTTTTATTAGACAATGCGTAATTCACTAGTTCCGTGGAAACGTGTGATTGTATATTAGGAGACAAACAAACATACCAAAGTACTTCTGACTTTTGTTTTACCCTTTTATGGGAACTAAAAGCTCTGAGGTTAGAAATGGCACATTAGAAAGCCTACATAAACAGGATGTTAAGCCTAAAAATGGCACATAATCTAAATGTTCGGCTGTACAAAAGAATAGATGTTAAATAAACAGTATTCAAAATTAATCTCGGTGTATTCTTTGTTCTTCCTCCATTACAGCTACATTGAACTCTAAAAGAAATTCTGGGGGTTTTAACATCACTTCGTGGGGATATAGTAGACGAAATTTAGGCCAAGGTTATAAGTATTTGCAAAACTAGGTCAGGGTCCGGTTTGTCAAGTTACATTAGGTTTATTATAATTAAATAATAAAACTGTTTTCGTTTCGAAAGGAAGACTAAAATAAAATGTCTATATACTATTACTAAAGTATATATATTTAATAGGGTGCTCCATTTAAAACTAACATTATTTATTTTTTTCACTGACACATGAAAATTTTATTTCTTTTATCAAAAAAAAAAAAATTCCCTGAAAATTTAAGCCCTTAGTTTTAATTTTAAGTGGTTTCTTTCGATCGATGTATATTTCCCATTTAAATAACATGTAAATCATGATTTTTTTAATTTAAATAATAATAGCTCCGTTTGATTTCATGGTATTCCATTGATATTAGTCAAAATTTGTAGTATATTAGGGACTCTTTGAAAGTGCCCACTAACATTTTTTTGTACTTGAACCCGTCTCAGCGGTGTCGGCTTCCAAAGCTCAATTTTCTCAAAAATTGTTATATTTTCGTTCTTATCAACAAAACAGTTGAAGTTATAAAAAAATTGTCCCAAAACAATTTGTAGGAAATTAAATTTCCTACAAAAATACCCCTGTATGGATTTCCTGAGGAGCGCAATCCAAAAGGTATAAATTTGGAACAATTTCTTTACTTCACTATTATTATACTAATGTTCATATAAAATATTAATTACACTAATATTAATTACACTACGAATATAATTTGAAAAACAGATTAAAGCATTTATCCCATTCCTATGCAATACCTCACTTATTTCATAATAAAACTTACAGCGGTTTTAACATACATACTAAAAAATAGTATTCCCGACGCCGAAACGGCCAACGGCGAAATGGCCTGACGTCCAAATGGCCACGGCGAAATGGCCACGCCGAAACGGCAACGTCCAGATGTCCTAAACCCGAGAAAATTATTCAGAGTGGAAGTTTCAAGTGGCTGCTTTTTTAAAGATAGATGGGCTATGCAATTGTATTTCTAGACAAGTAGCGATAACGTCAGAAGCAGATATTGCGGACAGTGCACGTTGCGAAAAAGCGTTGTCAAAAATAATGTTATCCTTAAATACATCAACGTACCCTCATGTAATGCAAGTCAAAACTGCAAGTGAAGCATGGACAACACTTGAAAAGGAATTCGAAGACAAAGGGCTGCATCGAAGTTTGAGATTATTGAGAAGTCTGTGCTCAGTAAAACTTGAAAACTTTGATAACATGGAGGACTATGTAAATCAAATAATAGGCCTCTC